GTGAGACACAGACAAGGGAGCATCTGTGAGCATCCGGAAAGACAGCTTAAAAACCAAACTTACCAACCACTTTCACACTACTGTGGAGACAGTTAGTCAGTTTTTAGAGATGTATATACAATTATATTCTGCTCATGTTAAACTTGTTTTAAAATCATGTCTGTCAAAGTTATAAATAATCTTTCTCGAGGCTGTGGAGGTTGTACAATTGCTTCATGCTGTTCTAACCTCTTTTACTTTCATGTGCTGTGTATTTTCTACAAAATGTGAATAAAATGTCAGTTCAGTATATCACAGGTACACACTGATTTAATGGGCTGGATCAAATAGGTCACTAAAGAGAGGAGAACTATGAGACACTATGTGTGTTCTCTTTTCTTGTAGGTTATTCACGGCCTGTGTTTCCCCATGAGCATACCCACAGATGTTTCAGGGAGATTTTAGCGGATTGTTATTTCAGTCTTTGCTGGCGTATTCAAGTATATTCTTTGTGCTAATAAGTAGCTAAGTACATGCATTATTATAGTACTTTTTTGAGCATTTTAATTTTCTTTAACAAATAAATCATCAAATATTGTAAAGTAAAGAATATAAACATGAGTTTACAGTATGTCTGTGTCTGTATTGATGTCAGGAGGAACTTTGTACTTTAAAGGTCCAATATGTCAGATATCTATTTAATTAAATGATAAAGTGAGTTTACTATATGATCAGACATTAAGGAAACATGCTATGTTGAAGTGCTGGTTCCTCTATCTAACCCTAACCCTAACCCTAACCCTATGCAGCAGACAGTATGTCATCCTTCTAACTTTACATTCTGATCCTGAATGGTCTTTGCTTTGACTACAGAAGGAGGTGTGAAGACCGACGCAGAGCTGAAGCTTCCGACACACGGCAACCTGCATAAAACCAAACACACTGTCTGCCACCTCATGTTCTCCTACTCATTTCAAAGTTGTAGAAAAACAGATAAATATACAAGCTTTAAGTGTTTCATGATGTTGCCACACAACACTTTTTGAATGGATAACTATGCTGTAAACTATACTTGGTGGGATTGCTGCCATTTTCACACAAGCAGAAAATGTAGAGGTGTTTCTTCTCCACTGCTTCTTAAATATGGTTCACTTCTTACAGTAAGTAAACCATGATTGCAGTTGTTGTTGTTTCTTTCAAATTAACCAATATTCCACAGAAAACACGACCGGTTTTAGAAACATTTTACAACATTTCCGCATAAAAGGAGACGACGCACGGCTTCTTTGGAGCTCATATGAAGACAGTAATTTCCGTACTTGTGAGTTGATGAGCGGCTTAAGAAATACATGAGACCACGTAAGCATGATCAACATGATGCTGGTGTGTTTTTCTCATGAAATAAAGGAGAAGTTGGCTTTACATAATGTGTGTGTGTGTGGGTGTGTGTGTGTGACATCTCATCACACTTCACCTCACTGACTGTATGTCAGAATCAGGTGGTAAACACTTTGTCTTATAGCTGACAGGGAGGGATGTTGTGTGTGCGTGTGAGTGTGTGTGTGTGAGAGTGTGTGTGTGTGTGTCAGGGTCAGTAAGTGCTTTTGGCTCCTCTCAGTGTTGGTGTTAGCGGGCTTACCTCCGTTTTTATTCATCCTTTAGAAACTCTCTTTCTCCATCTCTGCAGCCTTTAGTTCTTCATCACGTCTCTTGAATATTTATTTGCTGTTTGCTCACTTCCTTCCGCTGCTGAACTCGCTGTCCTAGTCTAAGAAGAAACACTGAAAGCAGGTTCAGAGAGAGTTTAAAGACCTGCCGCTGCTGCTTTTCAACAATCACAGATGCAGGATGTCACGACTGATTCATTCTAACTCTCTTCCATTCATACGTGATTCCCTCAGCAGACATTCATTCCCTTAATGCAGTACAGTATAACTTTAAAATGATAGAATATTTCAGTGTCCGTGCAGCAGTTTGAGTCCCAAAATAACTTTTCATAAGAGTAAAGAAAGCAAAAAAACACCCTTTCACATTACGACCAATCATGGGAGTTCTCTCTGCTATAATTTACATGGCGTTTTTATCACAGCAGCACATACAGCAACAGTACCGCAGCTTTCAGTTGCAGTCCACGCTCCCTTAACCTAATATCCGGTGTTTCCACGGCAACGATGAACATGTCAAGTCTGTCATGGCGGCTCTGTCAAGACAAGTCCCGTTACAACTATAAAAATTACGTATTTCTCTGGCTTTGATAACTGTTGGAAATATTTGAGGTAAGTATTCAACAAGCACAAAAATATTTAAAAAAATTTAATTAATTAAGATATTTCAATATAATCATTCTAAATTCTACATTTAACATTTACATTTAAACTTTGATATAATTCTAGTAGTCATTTTAAAACATGTGGTATCAAAAAGTATCAAAGTGTTGACACCCTTCATTCAGATAATGTGATATTGACATCTTAATAGGCCTCTTACTGACTAAATGTGTAGAGATGTGAATAAAAACATACTCTCCTTTCTTTCCAGCCAGCAGGTGGCAGCAGAGGACCAACTTTGCTTCATACATTTGAGCATTTGAAGGACGTCTTCTCCCTCTGTGAATATTTATTTTGTGTATTTGTTGTGTGGCTGTGTGTTTGTGTGCTGCTCACTGATACTTAAAAGAAATTCTCAGGACAGCGTTGCTTCTTTCTCGTGGGAACAAGGCTGAAGTCTGCCAAACCTGAAAGGAGACACAAGGTCGTTGGGTCACAATTTAGATTGGAACAAAATAAATACCTGCAATGAAAGAATGCTGCTTTACTATTTGCTATTGTCTTTGGACTTATGAAGTGAAAAAAGGAAGATTTCATGTTTTCAAAAAGGTCCATTTAGAACATTTTCAAGCTGTTTGGGTCTTCTATATAACTTAACCTGTTTGTGTTTGAAACTCTTTGCTTTGTTTGCATGAGCTATCAAAACTTTTCTTGTATTAATGCATGTTGAAACAGGTCAGGACCAACTTTTAACGAAAAAAAAAAAAGGTCCACTTATCAGCTTCCTCCTACATATGGAGTCCCTGAAGTCCCAAAAAGTTAAGATATATAACTTGAGTCCACAAGTTGTTTTCATGTGTGCACAAGTAAGATCATAACTTTTCCACACAAGAGATTAACTCTCGTACTTTTTACTTTTTGGGACTTCAGGGACTCTGTGTGTGATTTCAAACACATCAAAAACAATACGTTTCTTTTAAGTGCAGTTCAATGAGGTACTTTTTGATATTCAGTGTATTACCTACATAAGATGGTGATCAACACAGCCTATGTCTGGCTATACTTGTCGGAGTATCGACACATAAAGTGAGCCCTGATAGGATTTCATCAAAATATCTTTTGTTACAATCGAACATTAATCTCCTAACTAAAATTTTTAAAAAAACATAAAACTCTGTCATTTTCAGAGTTCACAATAAGTTTTTGAATATTTGTAATGTTTCA